ATGCAGACCGAAACCAGTCTATAGACCGCAAAAAACCGCGGTCTGCGGTCTTTTTGCGGTCCGGTCTGGTCTTTTGACTTCTGGGGAAAATGCAGACTGGTTACGGTTACGGTTAACGCCCCTGGGCATCAAAAAACCGGACCGAACCGGACTTTCAAACACTAATTGGGATGGTCTTCAAGTAATGCTTCAAATTTATCAATATTAAAAGGAGTAGTAACTTTAATGGAGTCTTTCATAGCACTAAGAGATGATTGGATGTCAGGGTCGTTGATAAGATGGATGGGTGGTGAATGAAAAGGAGGAGCGGTTTCGGTGTAAAGGGCAGAAGGAGATATAGTGTTAGAATGATTATTGCACCAAACAAGTCGTCGACGAAAACGAGGGGGGTCAATTATGGTGTCAGATTGACGTTTCGTCGAGTTTCGAGGCAAGGCCTTAGGACCTTCCAGAATTGCCTCCTCTGCTTTCCGCGTGGCTTGTGCTAGGTCCTTTTCCACGGCGAGCTTCGAGAGAAGAGAGGCACGTTTCGTGGTCTCGAGCTTTGTGCTTTCCTCCGCATTCGGAACAAATCCCATGTTTGCGCCTGAAAACACAGGGATCGGTGCATATCCCGAGACTCCAATTTTGACAAGGAACTGCAGCACGTTTCGACGGGCCCATAGTATCGGTAGCCTCGCGTTTTCGCAGCATCTGTGATAGAAGTGGGAGTTGGAAGCGACTGCGGTCGTCCATCTGATAAGGACTGCGAGCGTATCGGTCACGGGCCTCAGCGTCGACATTGATAGTGACAAACGGATCATAGGGAGCGGCACGAAAAAGCTCAATAACCATATCTTGATATGTATTGAGCTCATTGAGGCGATGTGGATACAATAAAACAACGCCTGCTTTCCATGCTTGAAAAACCCGAGCCCATTCCGCCTCATTCCTAACCACTTTCCTAGCTGAATACTGATCCTTCCGTACCAATGAAAAACCCCCTGCAAAATCCTTCGCATCGTCGTTGTGACTAAACCCCCGATCCATCGAAGCGTGCAGCTTTTCGAAATCGACATATTGATCTTGGATGATAGCTCGCCACAAGGGACGAGGGATCGGGTCAACGAGAGGCTGCAGTTGCATGAGGTCTATGATTGGGTCAATAGCTTTGTCGGAGTTGAACGATTGACGAAGCTTCCATGTCGTTTGTAGGTGAGAGTCGAGAAATGTGTGCTCCGAGAGAGCAGAGAGGTGAGGTGCTGCTGATGAAACCGAGGCTGGGATAGCGGCAGAGG